GTAGCACGAATCCAGAAGGTCTCTTTTGCTCTTTGTCAGCTTGGGAAAGTTTAGAAACCGACATTTATGCAACTTGGGGCTCTTGCTATGTTTGTGGAGATCCCATGATCCGATGAGGTGGCCTCCAGATCCAGGTATGCGAAACATGTCATGTTTCTTTGAAAACATGACAGGGGAGGAGAAGAAGCAGGTCGGGTTTACGTTGAGCGGGCCTGCAAAAGCTGAGTTGAGGTCCCAAGAACTTAACAGCCATAACACAGTCTTCATCCTCTGGAGAAGACGAGGACATGGCCACGTTGGTCACAATTTGGGTTTGGCAATGAGGTAGAGTTACAAGAGGAGGCAGCGAAATGCGTTTCGGATTTGTATCCGATGCAACCGGGTTTAGATCATCTTGGAGACGCAATATGCCGTCGTCCTTCAAAGTAGCTATCCAACCATGGGATGAACCGACCGTTACCATTGGATCACTATCCACCAACTCTAGAGGCACCTTCTTTTCCAAGTCAGTGATTTTATAATCAGTAACATTACTAATGACAAGTTTTCCGAGATCCCCTCCACAAGGTTCAGCGCAGACGATGAAACAAGGAGGGGTTTGCATCAAGGAAGTTGAGAAGTCATTATTAGAGAGAAGAGGAGATGATCTTACAAATACAGGTTTCCGAAAGCATAGCTTCGAGGGCTGGTTGAGAAGCAGAGAGATGGATTACATGAATAATTCACTTATCGGAAAGCAAGAGAATTAAGAATAGAAAAAAACTAAACCCTAATTGAAGTATCGATGGTGTTCTGTTCTCCACCTAAAATCCTGCATTAATACAGAGGAAGTGACTTGCCCACCAAGTATCCCATCTCCAACTCAATTATGATCTTTATGGATATGTTTCTTTCCCATAAGTCATTTTGTGGGGTCGGTTCTCCACTATACCATCATTCTCATTAACTTCTAACTTATTACCTTTTACATTTCATGAAATAACTCAAAATATTTCTCAATACAGCTCTATAAGTTTTGGTTACTTGAGCACAGGAGTCTACATAGACATAGAGATTCAAAACGGAAGCTAATAGAGAAACTAGGAGACATAGAGTAGTGAAATACGAGAAAGAGAAACATGAACACTAAACACTCATCAAACAAAAACACAATTGAAAATGAATGCCACAGAGACGAACAATTAATAATCCTCCATTCGGAGAAATTATTAGATTTAACATAACCAAAAAATCAATTCACAGGAGAATTCAATTGATTTTATATCAACAAATTGAAGCATACATTTACATCAATCAGAGGGCTATATAATAATCTTAAGAGACCGATTGCTTCATAATCTTAGTGGCCTAACAAGAGCCTTTCCTTGTTAACTGAAGAAAATGTTTAGTTTTCTAGATATTCAACGTGCCTCTTCTGGCGAAAGTTTGCGTGGGCGATTGGATGCAGAACCCGACTTCAGATTCTGATGCCATTGGAGAGCAAGTGAGCTGAAGAAGATGAGAGCGTAGAGAGAAAAACCGGCCTATTGATTCTTCTTTCTCTCTTGTTTAGACTTATTGCCTAGCTTAGTGGGCTAAAACACTAATATCTTTATGTGAACCTTTAGTTATGTTTTGTCTTTTGAAAATTTGGTGTGTAAGTGTAGGGAGCTGCTTACATACCACATTATTAAAACAGAGCCTGAACAGATGCTCAAAAAAAGTGGTAGCTAATATCTTTATGAATGAGCTAATATCTTTCTGAATGAGTATAGCATTAGCAAGAGATTTTGTTGATCTGGTATTGAAATGATTAAATTCTTGTGTATTGTTGATATAGAAAGATATTTTCACCTGACAAAGAAAAAAAAACAGACTCTAAACCCAACACCAACTGGTTATATATTCCCAACTGCGGGGGTGGCGTTGCCTTGAACAATTCCACTTTTGATCAGTCAGCTTGATAGTTTTGCTTTCGTCGACATCCAAGATTCTGACCACTTTAGGTTGACGCAAACAGAGAAACGAGGTACAAGGGACAGAGAAAGGTTCAGACTTTGTGAGAAAAATGCTTTGATCTCCAATGTCTTCTCCAATGTCTTGAGTGTAAATAGCGTTTCCTTCTTCGTCTAGCTTGAACACCATTAAAGCTTCTGTTTTCAGTTTCGAGATACCCTTGATGATCTTTCCAGTGGTCTTCTTGTACCACTTAACCAAGAAAGTTTCACCGGTAGTTTTTGACTCCACCAAGTGTTCGCTTGTGCAGCACGAATCCAGAAGGTCTCGTTTGGTCTTGGTCAGCTTGGGAAGGTTTTGAAACCGCAAGCTCTGTAACTTAGGGTTCTTCATATGTTTGTGGAGATTCCATGATCCAATGAGGTGGCCTCCACAGCCGACTATGCGAAACATGTCATCTTTCTTGGAAAACATGACATGAGAGGAGAAGAAGCAGGGGTTTTCGATTCTGATGTTGATCCACTCGGAGTTACTTTGAGCGGGCCTGCAAAAGCTTATTTGAGGTCCTAAGAACTTGACAGCTACAACACAGTCTTCATCCTCTGGAGAAGATGAGGACACGACCAAGTTGGTGACAATTTTGGTTTGGCAATGAGGAAGAGTTACAAGAGGAGGCAGTGAAATGTGTATCGGATCTGGTTCCGATGCAACCGGGTATAGATCAATGAATCGGAGACGCACCACGTCGTCCTTCAAGGTAGCTAGCCATCCATTGGATGATCCTATCTTTCCGACTTCCCTCCTCAACTCCTTAGGCACCTTTTCTTCATAAGGAGTGCAGCCTTTAGCACTGCTAATCACAACTTTTCCGAGTTCCGGTCTACAAGGATCAGCGCATATGATGACACAAGGAGAATCATGCGGCAAGGAGGTTGAGAAGCCATTATTAGAGAGAAGAGGAGATGATCTCACCAATACAGGTTTCCGAAAGCATAGCTTCGAGGGCTGGTTAAGAAGCAGAGACATGAATAATGTATTTATCGGAAATCAAGAGAATTAAGAATGGAAAAAACCCGAAACCCAAGAATTGGTGGTGTTCTGTTCTCCACCTAAAACCCTCCATTGATACAGAGGAAGTGACTTGCCCACCAAGTATCCTATCTCCAACTCAATTATGGTCTTTATGGCAAAGTTTCTTTCCCATAAGTCGTTTTCTGGGGTCATTAACTTACAACTTTCCTTTCACTACAGTTTTGTTTCCTGGTTTTACTAATCCATGTGCCAAGAAACTGTTCTACATTATGTAACTGTTTTGTGTGCGATGATTAGCAATATGTTGTAAACTTATAACTTTGGAGCTGCTTCGCGTTATTCTGATTAGCAAAATATAATCATAACTAAGTTACATGACCTGACAAAAAATCAGCTTGGATTTGCTAGAAATAGAGTTCCTTTCGCATAATAGAATCTTTTTCATAACACCGAGCTCAGATAAAAAGCTTCAGCCTTGAAGATAAGAAACTACAGAAGAAAAGTAAACGAAAAGATAAAGAAGAAAAAAAAAAAAACAAAAGTCTTAACACCGCTAATATTTTAGTCGACTTTGTGCAATATTCAGTCGACTTCCTCCATCTTGCTACCTTCAGCATCAGCATCATCTTCAAGTGGAGGCATCTCCGCATCGGCTTCAACGGCATCATCATCGTCAAATGCTCAATCCAAGCTTCAACATCCTATGGATTCTGCTTCCAAAAGTGTTGGGCTCATCGAGGCTGAAACCAGAAGTGAGAAGAGCGGTCTCAAAGAGAAGAAGCACAAGATCCTTCACAGACTTATCGTTCTTGTCCGCGTCGGCTCTCTTTCTCAGCTCGTCCATGATGGAGTTCTCTGGGTTTATCTCCATAGTCTTCTTGCTTGACCTGTAACTACCCGTGTTGCTATCCCTCAAAGTCTGAGCTTCATGATTCTCTCCATGTTTGGGGTCCAGCCATATTCGCCCGTAACAA